AAATGGAATTACTTTCTTCATATTTTTCTTTTACATGTTTTTATACAAAAATTTAATCTTCATTTCTGTTTTCTATTTTTCTTTGTGTCTTGCATTTTTTTTTTTTTTTTTTTTTGGCCAATTTCATCTCTGACCTTTCTTTTAAAGAACACAAAGTTCAAATGATTCCCAGACTGTCTGTTTGTCTCTTTCTGCGTTCACACACAACCTGACATCAGGTAATTCTTTAGGCAAAAGAAGAACAATTTAGTCAATTTTTTATTTTTTAAAAATTTTTTTTTCCTTCCCCTCCTTTAAATGAATCCAATTTGCTCAGACGTATTTTCTGGATGCATCTAGTGTCTTGAAATTTTGTTTTATCTTCAGGAAAGTTTTAAACAAGAAAATAAATTATTTGAAAAATAAAATTTTTTTACATCTGATACAGAATACAATTTAAGACGAGGGTTCAAAGATAAATCACTGCTGCAAAGAATATTTGTTGCAGACTGGTAGTTTGGCGAAGAGGAAAGGAAGGAAAAAAAAGTCTGGCAATTGCAAAAAAGGAAGGGAAAAAAAGTGAAAATATTTTTTTTAATCCTTTAAAAAAAAGTCTCTGTTTTTCATTTTTTAGAGGAAGGAAAAAAATATCTCTGGAAAATGGAAGGATGAAAAAAGTATAAAAAAAAAATAAAAAAAAATATCTCTTTAAATAAAGGAAAAAAAAATTTCTCTGGAAAAAGAGGAAAAAAAAAAAATTCTCTGGAAAAGAGGAAGGAAAAAAAAATTCTAAATGGAAGGGAAAAAAAAAATCCATTTTAAGAGGAATGAATGGAAAAAAAGTCTCTTTAAAAAATATAATAAATATATAAAAAAATTATCTCTATTTAGTTTTTTAAGGAAAAAAAAGTCTCTGGAAAAAGAGGAAGGGAAAAAAAAAAAGTCTCTAGAGAAGGGAAAGGAAAAAAAAAGTCTATGGAGGAAGGGAAAGGAGAAAAAAAAAAGTCTCTGGAGGAATAGAAAAAAAATAAAAAAAAAAGTCAAAATTAAATAAAAAATTTGTAAAAAAAAGTTATCTTTTGAAATGGAAATAAAATAAAAAAAATCTCTTTCAAAATAACTTGAAGAAAATAATTTTCAAAATATCTTAATAAATTCGAATAAATAAATAGGACAGCAAAAAAAGGCAATGAGGAGAAAAAATGGAAAAGGTGAGAGAAAAAAAGGAGAAGAAAGAAGATAATAGACAGGAATAAAATTTGAATAAATTTTTAAATTGATCATTAAAGAATGAAAAAAAAGACTTATACACACAATATATACATATATATATATATATATATATATATATATATATATATAAGGGAAAGAACCTTTCCCTGACGATCCGTTTAGGTGAAACCTAGGTAGGTTTGTCTGGCTCACACTAGGTGTATCTAGGTCTGCTCTACGGTTGTATTGAGCTCTTTTGTTAGTTAGTTGTTTACTCGTATCGGGTTTTTTTCTTTGGGCTTCAGACCTGCATCTGTGCGATTTTTTTGTCGGCAGAAGTTCATGTTTGTAGCTCTTTCTTTTTTAAAACTTTTTTTTTCCCTCGAGATTGATTTGATTAGCAAATCAAAAATTCGAGGGTTTTGAAAAACGAGTCTAGTTATCTATATTTATATATATATATATATATATATATATATATATATATATATATATATATATATATATATATATATTATGAGGAACAAAACATTATTGATGAAAAGGGAACAAAAAAAAGAATCTAAAATTTCTTATCCAGATACAGTCTTGAATAAAAACAGTAATATTGAAAAAAGTAAAGAGAAAAAAGTCCAAATGCAAATTTAACTACTTGATAAAGTGCTCGAAGCCTAGATTGCCAAGATTGAGCAAAAAAAAAAAAAATGCTTAGCAATATTAAATCCTGTGTATATATATAATTATATAATATGATTTATATATATATATAGGAATATTGGGTTATGACTATATATATAATCTGTAACTATACTTGTTTTGAAAAACCTTTGAATTTTTGATTTGCCAATAATCAAATCAATCTCGAAGGAAAAAAAGGTTTTAAAAAAAAAAAAGAAAGAGCTAGAAACATGATAGTCTGTCGAAAAAATGACGCACAGACAGGTTTAAAGCCCAAAGAAAAATATGTTTTTACATAGTAAACAACTAACTAAAAGAGCTCAATACATTCTATTAGAGCAGACCTAGATAAACCTAGTGATTTGGACAAACCTACCCAGGTTTCATAAAAGCGGATCATCAGGGAAAGGTGAGAGAAAATATGAAACCATATATACATAGGTAGTGTAATGGTTAGTGATACAAAATGAGAAATTTTGAGCAGAGTTCAAATTCCATTTGACATATTTCATTCAATTTTATGCATATATATATATATGTTATTAAATAAATAAATAAAATTTAAGCTAAGATATTTTAATCTGTGTTCAAATTGAAACCTCATATTTTTGTCTGGCTCAATAAATTTATATATATATATATATATATATATATATATATATATATATATATATATATATATAATGAACCATGTTTTGATACCACAAAACAAATATAATGATTTAAAAAAAAATTAATTCCATTTTGTATGACCATTTTTTTTTTTTTTTTTTTTTTATATATATATATATATGCGTGTGCCAAATATAACGAATCAGGGTCTTTTCGTTTAATAAAAAATATTATTTTAATTTTTTATATATATATATTCAAGTAAAATTTTACCCTTTAAATTCCAACCATCAACTATTTTTGGCGTTCTTTTTTTCATTTCACTGTTTGTTTGAAATCATTTCTTAAAAAAGACCCTGATTTTAAAGCGTTGGATGAAATTTACCTAGGTAATGCAAAAAAAAAAAAAATACAAAGAATTTCATTTTTTTTAAATCAATATATATATATATATATATATATATATATATATATATATATATATATATATATATATGGGGGGAGAAAGATATAAATAACCAAAAAGAATAAAAGATAAAGCTTAAAATGAAAAATAAACCAAGGAATCAATGACAAATTTAATTTGCAAATACATGAATGACTATTTTTATACTGTAATAACTTTTTTCATCTTTTCATTATTTTCACTTTTGTTTCTGTTACTGTCCTAATTCTATAACCATCTTTATTGCTTATATATATATATATATATATATATATATATATATATATATAAGTCAAAATATTACACCATAGGGATAAAATATTAAAGTATAATTAAAATGGAAAATATTATTTACTTGTTATTTAATTAAATGCTGTTAAAAAAAAAATATTTTCCTTTTTTTTTTCAAAACACATTTTGAACGAATGCCTGCATGATTCATTAACGCATCAGATTCTTTTACTGCATTCATGTTTAATTCCTTCTTTAAGTTCCTCAATATTTCTTAGGTGCGTCTGATAAACAACTGATTTCAAATGGTTAATGAAAAAAGAAAAATATTATTTGTAAGGTCTAGTGACCACTCAACGGGATCTCATAAGTCCTATCCATTAACTCTTATTGAGCAGATGAAACTTGTGCATTTCACCATTTGTGCATAAATATATCCACCCCCTCTTGACAGGGATTAACTAACATATATATATATATATAAATAAATATATGGATATAAATTTTTAGTATGAAAAAAATTTCAAAAAACAAAAAGAGATAAATATGCAAAATGCTGTTAACATTAATAAAATAAATTCATGAATAAATAGAATTTATGTCTATTAGATTTTCAGATAGAAAAAAGTATTTTTAACAAAACAATAAATAATTTGGAAGATCAATGTTATTATGTTTTAAAAATATGAATGAAGAAGGTGTTACTAGATGTTTCTAAGTTTACATTAAACAAAAACAGCAAATTGCATATTCATTTTGCATTTTTTGTATTTCATCCTTAGATATATTATATATATATATATATATATATATATATAGGAATGAAAAAAAAAAAAAACAGTACAAAATTTCTACCCATTATTTTTCACTATTTATATTTGGACTATTGTCTTCATCTTTGTTGTTGTTATCTCAAAGTTTCAGCTGTTGTGACCTCCACCTATTCTCAGGTGTACGTCAATCCAAGTAAGCTAAAGAAGTTTCCTATGGCATAATAGCCTAGTGGATTAAAGTGTTGGTTTATGAAATTGGTGACATAGTAATTGTGGGTTCAATCGCTAGGCTGGGCAGTGTGGATATACTCGGTGGAAACAGGGTGATCAAAAACAGGGCAGTACTAAAATTAAAGAACTAGAGGAGAGATGTTTTAAAATACTAAATGAGAATGGTCTGCATTTTTATGTTGATTAGTGTTCAGTTTGGCATCCCCTATAGGTTACTTGGATCAATATTCACCTGATGAATGCCAAAAATGAACGCAAAACAGGTCATCAAATAATTCTATAAATAGTTTGAATATATAAAAAGTAAATAATGATAAACTCTTTATTTATATTCACCATAGCCTATGAATATAGAATAAAGCGCAGAAATACGTAATCTGTTCAATGAAACAACGTTAAAGATTAATTGACGAAGTCAGACACTCTACTGAATCTGACTATATCGCCAATACCACCAGCAGCTGTTCCTGTCTTTCTTCAGTCTTTGATATCAGAGGTTTTCAGTGAATATTTTGAAAAAAACATTTGCCGCCTTTATACACGTCGCATTAAATATTGTTTTTCTGATTGGTTAACCCTTCTATTGGTGAACTATAAAATGAGTCAGCTCATTTGGCTAGCTCACTAGTAAAAAAAGTATAAAAAATAACAAACTTTTAGAAATTCTTTGCAAATAAAAGATTGTAGAAAAATTATTTTTTTTTTTTTTTTTTTTGTTGACATTACAAGCAAAAAAAAAAAAATAATAAATAAATAAAATTCTCCACCAACAGCAGACATTTTTTTTTTCCATTTGAAATTATTGTATCACATATTTAATTGTTGGATTTGTGTTTTAGGCCAAGGAACAAGACTTGTTATTGCCTGTACAGAAGATCAGCACTGGAGATGAATACGAAGGTGCTACAGTCATTGAACCCATAAAAGGGTGAGTTCATGTTTTGTTTTTTTCATATATAAAATCTCAGATATATCTGTAAAAGTATAATATGACTAAAGACAATTCATCCTCTGAGGGACTTATCAGACATTTGCAAGGGTTTTATTTTCTAACACGTATTCATAAACATGACCAAAAATGTTAATTTTTCAAAAATTCTTAGGAAATTAAGGTTCAAATATTCATCAGGTTATCTGAAATGTCTTTAAAAGGATTTGGGGAAACTAAAAAACATAATTTTAAGTTTGGGGGAATACTAAATGACAAAATGAAAATTATTGGTGGGACACTAAACTTTTAAATTGTTTAAGTTATGGGGACACTAATTAACATAAATTAGTAAGTTGGGATGGAGAACTAAATGACATAAACATATAACTTATGTTTCATCCGATAATTAATAAATGCCAGCTATATGGGGGATTTAATTGGATAACAAGTAGAAAAATGGGATTGTCCAAATGACATAAATTAAAATTATGGGGACACTAAATGACATAATTTCAATGAGATATTGGGGATATAAATGTTATAATCCGTAATTGGGGACACATTTTGACATAAATTTACATCTTATCTATATAGAAAAATTGACATAGGACTAAAATTATGGGGACATTTCCTTATTCATAAGTTTGGTAGTTATGGGGATTGACTAAAAAAAATGTTTTAAATTATGTTTCAAATATATTGACATAAATTGGTTTATTTTGGGGACAGTGGCTAAACAGACATAAATTTTTTTATGGGGGACCATTAAATGACCGATAAAAAGTTTATGGATTTTATATAAATGACATAAAAAACATACTAAATGAAAAAAAAGTTATGGGGACTATCTTAAATTTTAAAAAGTGCGTCAACCTTTTTGACATAAATTACCAAGTTATTGACATATAAATACATAATTTTTTTTAAGTATGGGGGACAATTAAATGAAAAAAATATCTAAAGTTATTTTTTTTTTAATAATATTTAATGAATGGGACACTAAATTTTATTTATTGGTAAGTTATGGGGGACACTAAATATAAATTGGTAAATATTCACTAAATGAAATAAATTTTTAAAGTTTGGGGGACACTAAATGACATAAATATAAAGATTATAGGGGACAAAAATGACATAAATTTTTATTTGGATTATTTAAATACATAAATTGGTAAGTTATGGGGGACACTAAATGACATAAATTGGTAAGTTATGGGGGACACTAAATGACATAAATTGATATCTAATAAACAAAAGTCCTTGTAATTTTTTTTTCTATTTATGCAAATTAATATTTCAGTTTGGGATTAGTTTATGTTATATATTTTAAATAACATTAGGTTATGTATTTATCCGTTTTCTTTTATTTATTTTTTAGCTAACCTGATGAACATTTATGTAAATTTGCTTTGCTATTTTAATGGTCCTGAACTTTTTTTCTATTCATGGCCCTTTTTAGAAATTTAAATGTTTTATTTACACATTCTAATTCCATCATGCTCTACCAAGAGTGGCTCTTGAGCCTTGAATTGGATGAAATTTTTAAAAAATATGGAGATAGTGATAGAGTAACTGTTAACTATTATTTATTGTAACTGGTATAACCAGTTATCCTCCCTCCCCAACTTAATGGACTGTTCCTATAGTGGCAGCAGCAGAAGATTCCCCTTCTGCCCAGAGTGGATTGGGCCATTAGATACTATTTAAACTGTTGTGCTTTCTCTCTTGGCATTTTACCTTTGACTTGGGCACCTCGATGTGGTGTAATGGTTAGAAAGCTTGTCTTGCTAGAACAATTACGACTGAGTAGTGAGTTCAATCCTCACTGGGTGCCCCATACTTGGACCTTGTGGCCACGTCTCAAAAATGTTAGAAAAACTTTTCTCTGAGGGACTTATCAGGCATTTGCAAGGATTTTATTTTCTAACACATTCATAAACAAGACCAAAAATGTTAGTTTTTTAAAATTTTTTTGAATTAAGAAACTCATAAATATTCATCAGGTTTTATCTGAAATCAAGGCATTTTTCATTATGGAGGACACTAATGGTGTAACGGTTTTTTTCATTCTTGCAATAGAACAACAATCTACTTTTTGAGTTCGATCCTCACTGATTTTTCATTTTTTGAACCCTTGTGCCACGTTTAAGCCTGGCTTAGAAAATCACTTTTACCTTTGACTTGCCAAGAGAAACTACTGACATTTTAAACCAGATTCTACTCTTGTTAGTAACAATGGTCTTGTGACATTGCATCTGTCAGAAAGTGCCTGGATATGTGACCTTTAGTTATAATTTGAAAGACTATATTGTGAGGAAGTTCAACTCTGATGGCTTTTTCACATGAACCGCTGTTTTGCGGAACAGACTTGAGCGTGGATGAATGCTGCAATGTTAACCACTTCAAGTCAAGGTTAAGTTATCTGTCCTCCATATCCTCATAATCCTCACTTCCTGCCCTTACAATTATATCATGCACCTCATTCAGTGATCCTCTACCTTGAGTGGCTGTTGAGCCTTATATTGAGTAAAAATTAGTAAAATTAAATAAAAACATTGATTTGCATAATAAAATCACCCCCACTCCCTCCATATTCCAATTGTATGGAGAAAGCTTTTTTCTCCCAAGAGCTGTTACTTTGTGGAACTGACTCCCAAATAGATGCTTCCTCAAATGTTACAATTTTACCTCTTCAAGTCAAAATTAAGTCATTATCTATCGTCCATATCCACATAATGCTTGCTTCCTAATCTTACATTCATGTCACACACTTCATTCAGAAACACTCTAACTTGAGTGACTCTTGGGTCTTGTACTAGGTGTACATTAGTAAAAAGGAAAAAGTTTGTCATCTGTTAAGTCCAGGGTTACTTTGTATCCTTATAACTGTCATATCTTACTTCCTCCTCTTACATTAATACTGCACACCTCATTCAGTGACATTCTACTTTGAGTGGCTCTTGAGAGTTGTTTTGGTTTGATATGTTTTGATTTGTTTTACGGCATATCAACCTCAATGGGTTATTTTAATGCCAACAACTTTTTTTCCTGGTAATATTTTGTTTTGTCAAAAATCTATTTCTCTTAATATTTTTTTCCTTAAAAATGTATAGCTGGTAATATTATTTTCAAAAACGTATTGCTGGTAATAGTTTTTTTTTTTTTTTAATTTATTTCTGGTAATGATTTTTTTACAAAGTATTTCTGGTATTAAAACCTATTACACTTTTATAATGCTTTTTACCTCAGTTTCGGGGTTAACCATTTGCTTCAGCTGGGACCCTAACAGGTGCTACCACCCTGGGTCAAGGTGGACCTGGGAACTTATCGTCATAACCAGGATGTGACTTGTTTTGGGTGAACATTTAATAAAATTTTTTAAAAAAAATGTCAGTCTTAAATGCTGAGTTTCTACTTTACTTTACTTTACTTTTTTTTTTTTTTTTTTTTTTAAAGAAAATTAGGTTTAAGACACTAATTTCTACATTCCTGATTGTCCCACAGGACAATAAGCTAGTGGATTAAACCTTTGGCTCATGAACTTGGTGATATCATAATTGTGGGTGTTAGATTTACATACAAATTAAAATTTAAAATGTCAATATACTGATATCATATATGTTAACTAATATCCTCCAAAACTCAATTATTTTACTGCAAGATTAAAGGATTTCTTTGGTGACAAAAAGGGAAAACTGAGCTGCTACATAACATCTGTCCTCTTGGACGGTCTCCTCACTTGTGGAACTCCCTTCTGGCTTCTTGCTTCCCAGTCAACTTTGATTTTCAAAAATTTAAATGCAATGTCAATCGTTATCATCTGTTTAATTCTTATCCTTTTATTGTCCTCACTCTCTCTCTGTCTTCTTAATTGTAGTTTTTCTCATATTTTCTAACATTCGGTAGTCTCTTACATCTTAGTGGCTTTATTGCCTTGCTTGGGGTGAAATGATAAAAAAAAAACAGGATTCAAAGTAACCGAAGATGATGATTATTTACATTGCATTTAAATTTTTGTATATAAAACGGGAATTTTTGAAGTGCATATTGCCAGACATGAGCAAGTGGCAACACTGCGAGACAGTGACCTTGAGCAAGTAAACATTTTGCCATTTAGAATTCAAGATGAAATTCACAGTATCCCGGCTGAGATTTTAGCAGCAGTCAATGAGGAATCTCAACAGCACATTTCAAGAATAGGAAAAATAGAGGAGGATGCCATCTACAGGACGTCATTTTTAAAAAAATGAAAATTCCATCATTGTTTCTTAAATGGCATGTTTTAAGGTTTCAATTACTATGAATCAACTATTTTTCTTCCATCACTCTTGGTTTCATTGTATTGTTAAAAAGTTCTCGTTTTTTTTGGTTCACCCTATACATAGTAGAAGCACCGGACCAGATGTAGTAGATGAATGTTAGGCTTATAAAGATGCAATAGATAGATATTGTTTGAGAAAATTTGTTTGGTGTCTCATTAATATTTCTTACTAGCAGGAGAGCCCGGCGTTGCCCGGGGATGTAACAGTAAGAGATAGATCAAGTATCGACCATCATAAAGACTGAAAAATAAAATTGACAAAGATTAGTGTTTAAGGTTGACGGACACGCATGTCTTAATTAGTTTTTTTTTTTGTTGTTTTCTTTTTACGAATTGGTCAAACCTAAACTCAAACAAAAATATTGTTTTCAATCGTTATGAGTCTATCAATTGAATAGAATTTTATTATAAACAATTGTCTTGTAAATGGAATTTTTAAAGCATTCTGAATGTAAAAATAAAGAAAAAAGTGTGCAAGGCAATAAGAAACACTACCTGCCAAAAAAAAAGTGAAGTTTTGTTGAAATCGGTTGAAAAATGGAGGAAATCCGATCCCATATATAAACAAACACCCGCAACCTGGGTTTTATAAGTATAACTCGATATGAGTTGTCCCCCTTTCAATCTGGCGACAGAATCGTGTTTTATCCTGTTTTCAAATTGATTTCGTCCAAAAACAATTGTTTTTCCAATTTTTGGCGCTGTCAGAACCACCGCAAGTTAATTTTACGCAGTCCTGTGAAGTTTTGTTGAAATCGGTTGAAAAATGTAAGAAATCCGATCCAACATATAAACGTACAGACACACACACACACACACACACAATCTGCGTTTTATAATAAGTAAGATTTATTTTTTTATTTTATTTCAATCAGTTACGTGTTCCTCTTTAACCTTCTTGAAATTTCTTGCATTTCAGATATTACAACACTCCAATTGCAACTTTGGATTTTTCTTCACTGTATCCCTCCATTATGATGGCTCACAACCTTTGTTACACCACCCTTCTCAATCAGAATTCTGTCTCGAAATATGAGTAAGTAAAACTACATTGCTTGCCAAGTTAGGTTTTTATACTGGCTGTGAAGTTAGGTTTTTACGCTGGCTGCCATGCTAAGTTTGCTTGTTGTTTTTTTTGTTTGTTTTTTGTTTGTTTTTTTTGTTAATCTTTCTATGGTTGAAATTGCCAAGGACTTGTTAAATCAGAAAGAAAAAGAAAAAAATCATTAGACACTTAAACTTAATTCACATTTAAAATCAGTCCAAGTTAGTGGAACATCCTTTAGAAGTCTATAATTATTCTGGATTTTTGTTGTTGTGGTGTGAATAGAAGTTTATGAGAGGATTATTTTTGGGTGGATACTGAATTTTAAATCATTACCTTGAAATAATTAAAGGAATGAACTAGGTTGCAGTTCAGGATGTTTTTATCACATCCCATATACTTCTTCATGCTGTTTACATGTATTGTTTAAGTTGCTACTCTGTGTTCTTGCTATTTCTATCAGATCCAGAATAATTAAGTCTCATCCATTGTCCAGTATGAAGGATCTTTAGTATGATACCATTTCAGTTCAGTGCTAAATCTGGTCTATTAAATTGTCGTTGACTACATCAAACATCCTACTGACAATGTCTTCACTGTCTCCTTTTCAGGTGCTATTCCTTTTCCGATGGCAACCTATGATTTGATCATTACAGCTTAGAATTCAGAGTTGTCTTTCTCCTTGGTTGATTACCAATCTTAGCTTGAGAGCCCAACCTGTCCTGATATTTAACCTATAGCTGGGACATCTTTACTGCTACCTTTCTCTTCTCTTATGATGGACTATGTCATATCTTTGACCAGAGATAACTTTGACTAATATTCTGACTGCAATGATATTTTTCATTAAAATCGAATAACATTTTGACGAACCAAGACTATCTTTTAAAAGAATGGCCTAATTATATAAAGTTAAAAAACTGGAATTCCCCACCATCCAGTCTTAGTGTCACTTTATCTTGAAAAGATTTTGCATTTTTTTTTTTTCTGATTCTTTGCCATAAATGATATAAATTAAATCTACATCTCTAGCAACATCGCCTCTTTAAAAAATTTTTGATTAACAAGGCTTTCTCACCTAAATACTATTTTGTTTGTTCAATATTGATTTTAGAATCAACAGTTATTCTGACTTTAATCTATTTAAACACCTTTAAATCAGCTTTTGGAGGAATTCCTGAAACGGCATTCATGGTTCTGTTACAGGTTATTTCCCTCTGATTTTAAAGATTTTCTCATCTGATCTGGGCTTTTCTGTATTTTTTGAAAACGAAGGTCTTTGCTTTAAAAACCTTGTTAAGATGTTTGAAAACTTGGTAGTTAGTGGGTGGAAGATAAGGAGAATAATGGTGATTTGTCAAAAGGCTTTCTCATATTCCAATTGCCAAAGATTAAAATTTTTGAAATTTCAGGCATTTTGAAGGTATCTGACTTACTTCGCTCACCTCCAGTTTAAATTGCATTTTCTTTCTTTTTCTGCATTTGTTTTAGTGACTGGCAATAACCTCTGACTTCAGTATTTTTCAACATTACCAGGTTTTCTTTGACATCAAATTCCTCTTATTTTATTTTTCTCATTTCTGATTCAGGCTTTTAAACAGTGATTTGACTTAAAACATTAAGATTAAAAAAAAAAATCAGGCTTTTAGACTGTTTCTGAGGATTAACATTTTTTCCTATTGTTTATATCTTCCCATCTCTTTATCAGTGTTTTCTCAAACAATTGGGAAAGTGGAATTTTTCAATAGTTTTTTTGTCTCTAAAATTCTTTAAAAATAATTATTAGTTATTATTGTTTTATTTTTTTTTCTTAGTTCAAATCTTAGACAGATATTTTTTTGAATAACTGTTAAGAGAAAAAAAAATGTTTTTTTTTTTTTTTTTTCAAATTAAATTAGATTAAAAAAAAAAAAAATTAATATTGATTGTTTGAGATGTCACTCACAAAAAGTAAACCTAAATAACTAATATCAAATTATTATTATAATTTTAAATAAGTAATAATAAATTTTAAATTTAAGGTTAAACCTTTATTATAATAACCAAAGACTTTATTTATAATATGCTATAGAATGTATTTTAAAATTTTGAATATTAAATGAATTAAAAAAATTAGTCAAAATACATTATAGGACAGGGTGGCAACCTTCCACTAACTATGTGTTGACTTAGGGTTTTAAAATCATTCAGTGTGCCAACAACTTATGTATTTTTATACAAGTCAAGGTCAATGTACCTGTTGTACAGTATATTTTATATATAGTAATATATAACATATATACTTTAGTATATATTAAAATTCAAACTGCTAAAGATCTTCTTTGCGTTGTAGTAGTTATCGGTTTGGACTTTGTGATGTCATTTGTTGCTGCGTGCCATTGTAGATTATTTGGCATGTTACAGAATTTTGGGTTGACAATTAATGGTGTATCAGTGTTTCTCACAAAACCCTTGTGAATTTAGGCAAACCCTAGGGCTCCATGGAACAATGTTCAGAAACAATTTACTTTTTTATAATGATATATAATAACCACATTGGATTTATTTTTGCATCTTTGAATAAATAAATATATATATATATATCTTATATATATTAAGAAGGGCACTAAAAGAAATGCTGTGATTTCAAAGTCTATCATGACCCATGTATAATCTTCAGTCCCTCTATCCATGATAAAAGCACTTTCACCCATAAATATAATACTTAAAAATATATATTTTTATCATATCAAATTTATAAATTGCCTATTTTCCTGCTATAAAGTGGTAGTTGATCCCAAAATTTTCATTTACTTTATCTTTTCCTTACATGTGGGCATTTTACATTTGTAATTTATTGCTTTCACATCTGTGTTACTGGTGGTGCAGTCATAAAACTTAGGCCCAGATAACATCATTTATTGTCCACATCACTGTGTGTGTCTTTGCCCTTACTAGACATTTGAGCTCCATTGTGTTATGCACTGCATGAATTGTTTTAATTAATTTTTAATTATGATTTTATTTAAGTTAATGTGCCAAATGGGAAATTATAAAAATTGACTCTGCCAGGATCATTGAGTCATATGAATGAAATTTATATTTAGTTGCATAGTATTGTGCTTTATAAATCAAATAATTTTTTTCCTGCTAGACTGGTTGTCACTGAAGGCTATAGAACAAGTCTGTTCTACTATTTACCCATTGCTGTTGATTGGGAGGGGGAGAAAAGAGTTAGACTCCTACCTTTCCCAAGGATGAATTTTCCCAAGCCTTCTGAAAATTTATTGCAGATAACTTATATTTTCTTTGTTTTTCTCTCTTCTCCTTTTTTTTTAATAACCAGTTTGACTCCTGATCAGTACATTAAAAGTTTTTTATTTGAAACCTTTTTTGTAATTCTTCAATTAGAAAAGGTTTGATCCAGAAGGGGCCATACTTGATATCCTCTCAGCCAGAAAAGGTAATCACCTTTAAAATAATCTGACCTTTTTTTTTTTTTATCTACATTTTTTTATTTACTCATTGGCTTGGCCCAAAGCCATCAAGAACTTTTCTGCATCTGATAATTTACAGTAAACCCTTTACCTTGAGTGGAACTTGGGTTATGTATTGGGTGAAAAATTAGTGTAAAAAAAAAAAAAAGCAATGGATCATATGTTCCTGTAGTGAAAGAGATAATTAGCTACTGGGAAAAAGAGTTTGGGTTTTATGTGCGATCTGCCGAAGAAAAATTACCAAAAAGTAGTTAGTAAAAATCTACTTTAAGGACCAGAATCTATGCTAATGTTCTTCCCTCCTCCGAATGGCGTGATCAATCAGAAAAGATCTCTCAAAGTTTGAACAAAAGTAAGTTGTTTTTTAAACCTATAAAGGCATTTAGATTTTCTGAGCTTTGGGTATCAACACACGTTTTTGCTGGTTAGAAGTGACGGTTGACTTTGTGTGACACCATTTTGATGTTTCTACGTTGCCTGTTGGAAACAAAACTGTTACGAGGGACTATCGTTTGAACTGTGATTTGGCTACAAGTGTTGTGGTCGAGAGACAGAAGAAATCTGTTGCGGACGTTTGTTGCTACTATAAGTTGACAGTTTTTTTTTTTACTTCTTTTTTCTTTTTGCAACTACTGCTCCACTTGAGATCAGAAGGGAACTTGAGTCCCAACAGACATTCAAAGTAATATATTGTGCAGTGAGTGAATTAATTAAAACTTATTGAACGAGATTGTTGAAAGTAGATAATGGTTGACCTAAGACTTAAAGAGGTTAAGGTTGTAGTAATTAACCTTTACCACACTGCAGGCGTCAATAGTCACCGTAGAATTTTATTCCCTTGCTACTCTAGGCATATGTTGTCGCCTTGAGACGGTTACTATAAATAAACACTTGTCGACTATTATTTCTGGTATTTTAAACTGGAAATCTCCTACTGCTGATCCGGAACAGGACTAAACTCCCAAAGCCATTTTGAATGCTAAACACGAGGAAACATGTCACTTTTTGACGAAATGAAAGCCTTCTTAGCGATTTTGGTTCTTATTGCATCTCCAGAACTCCACAA